AAGGGATGTATCGATTCCAAAGAGGAAAAAACATCTCTTGCAAAGTATTTACAGGTAGGTACTTCATTGGTTTTATTGCTTTAACCTTTTGCACAAAAGAAACTCTGACTTGAGAAACATGTTCAGACTATTAAATGCAATATGGTCCAATAAAAGGAGATTCCTGATTTGCAATGCTTCAGTTTCGATCGGATGTATTGTGAGTTTCATATTTTTGCTCCAATTTAGTATTCCAATGTGAATATGAATCTGAATATTACCGATGAAGCAATGAAAGATTGCATGCATTTTAGAAAGAGAAATGAAATCGTGACGCATTACTCAGAAAAGGCCGTTATCAGTTTTGTTTTCCAATTGAAGGTGGTTCGTGTATTGCTAGTGTAAGTATCGAATCGATTTTGACGTATCCCTGGCTCTCCAACAAATTGCGGGATTCAGATATTACAAATTAACTTGAATGCTATATTGGTGATGATGTACTAGGCGCTCTTCGATTTATTGTTGTGACGACATAACGCCAGGACGAAATTTTCCATTCATTTTCTTTCATTTACCATCCATCTATCGATCATAAAAATGAGGCAGCACGTGGTAGTTCCCGGAGGGACTTCTCTGGTAATGCATCTAAACAATTATAGTAATGTAATTCTACCATAGAATTCTACAGATCAGGGATTATCTTCTCAATTTTTTTTAGATCACGAGTTCTTTGTGAAGCTTTTAATGGTTTTGACCATCAACCGTTAAAGGGTCAGAAAACTGAAGACAGGATAAACATGAGGGGGAGGGGTTCAGAAGGGAAAGTGTGGGTCAATAGGCTTGAGAGCAGCTAAGTGCATGCGGAACATATAATTTGGCAATACGTAACTTCGTAACAATTCGCGTGATACACGGTTATCATTTGATGATATATCTAAACACAATTGAAAGGGTTTTAGAGTACAGTCAAATATAATGCTGTCTCTGAGATTAGAGCCGGAGCCCTCTTTATGAGGGAGACAAGGAAAAGAAGTTGAAGCTGAAAAATATTGGGTACGTCAGGTTTTGATGTTGAAAATGACGACCATCGATCGAACACTTCATGGGGACGACCAACAAAAGTGAAAAACTACACTGCGGGTGCACCGAGCAACCATTACACGCTTTCAACTTAGGGGTGCATTGCACACTATTCGCGGAAAACTCGAAGTGCCTCTTAGAACCTTCTTTGGAAAACGATACTAAAAATATCACAGCGCTTAGTAAGGTAACTTTTTTTTTTTATTCTTTGTGCCAGATCTATTGAGAAATACTTTTGAAACATGTTGATGGTTATTTCCAGAAAGTGTGGGGGTTTCCTTTATTTCTCAATTATTTATTCATTTGTTTGTCAAAGTTAAGTCTTTCCTACACCTGCTTGTACTACAATAACTACAAACTGTTTGACAGGAGGCCCTGAGTTTACGCATTACCTAAAGGGTCAAATATTGAACCATCGTTTAAGAAGAGAAAACGTTTGGCAATCAAGATTTCCGAAAAAATAACTAAAAAATAGAAAAAAAATCAAAAGACCGCCAGAGACAAACACAATGCTGTTTAAAGACAAGTAAGTCTCAGTATGCATTGGACGAGGGCAGAACATATCGAGAGTAGCCTTGAGCCGTTTGAAAACATATCATTGAAATAACAATTAGGCCTTACCTCTAATTTAAGGGATGCCAACCGGCCTTTGATTAGATATTATACACGAATCAACCATTTTCTACCATTAGATTAGCGAAAGTATAAATATTTGTTCATATCAACGATTAAAAATGGAACTAAGGCTTTCTGCGTTTAATCAATTTTTGAACAATCTCAAGCATTACTGACTTTGAAAAGCTAATGCCAGTAATGACTGCCATACTACAAACGAGTTACTCTGACAGCTAACGAACCGAGCAAAACGAACTGACTTTACCGTCAGATTAAAGCTAACGATCGCATCAAAAATTTGACAGCTAGTGGCAGCCTGCCTGAAATACTATTTCAGTTCAAATTCATGGCAAGACCGCAACTCAACTGCCCCCTCGTCGCCAAAAACACTTGGATTGATTTGTGAGCCCTTCGTAGTGGAGTTTCCAGTATATGAAGATGGAAAAACAGTGTTCAGCTTTCTTTTAAATCGCTCTTGAATCTGTTGATGACAATCGAAAACAATGTCAATTGTGTAGCTAGTATTGATATATTCAATGCAGTAAATTTAATGTATCTAACTTTATTTATCCGAAAAACCCATATCTGTTAAAAGT